TGAGTTCAATCCCCAGTTCCACCAAATAAATAAAAAAAAAAAAAAAAAAAGACCCTGTCTAAAGTCACAAAACAAAAGAAAAAAAAAAGAAAGAAACTGCTCAACTTTGAGTAGTTTGTTACAAAGCAGTAGGTAAATGAAACAACCACGAAGTTCTTGCTAGCAAATTAGCATCAGCCAATAAAAATAAAAATCTGAGACCTCTTTACACTTCCCCATTTTTCCTTAGAAACAGAATGAGAAGAAATGGAATTCAAATTTCACCCCAACATTTTACAATTGGACCAGAGGTAGAACTTGCTGACAGCAAGGCAGCCTAAGGGCAGAAAGTCTCACCGCTGTCTTTCTAACCTAACTCAGGTCTCCCAGAACCAGGCTCTCACCATGCTTTTGCTCAGAGCCAAGCTCTGCCTTACAGCTGACTTCGACAGGGCCGCTGAAGACCTGGACAGCAGGAGCCAGAATAGGCTGGCCACAGAGGCCCAGCTCAGCAGTCTGGCTCCCTTGCAGGCCGGTCAATAGTCCATGCTCCCCCAAGGGCAGCTCGCCGCAGGCAGCCCTTCCGGCACAATGAAAACATGAGAGAACTGATTGAAGGAGGAGGAGGTGAAATTTTCCCCTCTCTAGAACAAAAATGAAGTTAGCACTCTCCATGGAAAAGCAGACACGGTCCACAGCAGGCACATGGTAGGAGAAAGACTAGGGCAGTGAGACTAAACAAGACCTGTCAGAGACTAAAAACATTACTAAAGGGCTTATAGCTTCAACAAAACAAGAGAGAAAAAGAGAGGACCCAACAGCCTTTAGGTTTCCGCCAAAATGCACAATGGAACAGCTAGCAGGTGATTTCTTACCTCTGTGCATAATCTTGTGCTTCTCCCTCAGGTATGTCAGGCCTTTGATTACCTAGAGCGCGGGGAAGGCAAAGAGAAGAGCCTTCATCTAACAACGGCAACAATCTGCCCTCCTCTCTTTTCAGTGTTCTTTATCTCTGGCAGTGCTGGGAACTGAACCCCGGCCTCACTTACGCTGGGTAAGCAAGCGCCTGACTACTGAGCTACTTTCCCAGCCCTTAATATTTCTTTGTTTCACTTCAGTACCTGCATTATCACAAACCATCTTTTATGCAGCACATCACTTTGTTTCATTTTCTTTTTTTAGACAGTGTCTCAATCTGGAGGCCAGCTTGGCTCAAATCCAAATCCAAGATGCTCCTGTCTGAGCTTCCCAAGCACTGGGATGCTAAGCATATACCATCATCCTGAGCATATATTATTCTTAAGTGAAACTACTGAAAGTTTAAACAACCTGTCAAGAAAGATTATGCATGAATTTTTATTATTTTTTAATATTTATTTTTATTTATT